TGCTAGAAGCAGGGAAACTGTTCTTTGCATAAACTCTGCAATTTTTTTCTTTCCTGGATCCCTTCTTCTCCCCAAGTCACCTGAACCCCATGAAGCCAGAGAGAGGCATGGCAAAGCAGATTGGTGGAGGAGGGATAGAAAGAGGCTGGGGGCTTCTAGCTCCTGGCATTTGTCCCCTCAGAAACAGCAACCCTCAGCCTGATACTTCCAAGCATGGATGGCAGTGCCAGACTGCTCGGGTCCAAATCATCCTGACTTTATACTTCCAAGTCATCCTAGGCAAGTGACTCAGCCACTTGTATTAGTTTCTTATTGTTGTTGCCACAAATTACCACAAACTTAGTGGCTTTATTTATTTATTTTGTAAACCCTTTATTTATTTATTTTTATCCTCACCCGAGGATATTTTTCCATTTTTCGTTCAGATAGAGTGGGAGGGAGAGAGGAAGAGATAGAGAGAGAGAGAGAAACATTGACGTGAAAAGGACACATCAAGTGGTCGCCACCCGCACAACCCAACCAGGACCGGGGACAAACTGCAACTGAAATATGCGCCCTTAGCAGGAACCGAACCCGGGTCTCTTCGGACCGCAGGCTAACACTCCAACCGCCGAGCCAAACCGGCCAGGGCTTAGTAGCTTTAAAACAACAGAAATGAATTCTCTTACAATAGGCAGCATTCCCTCTGGAGATGCTAGGGGTACAGTGGTCTCTTTCCTTCTCCAGTCCAGAGAGCCGCACCCCTTTTATTCCTATGTCCTTGACCCCTTCCTCCATCTTCAAGGCCAGCAGCACATTGCTGTCTCTCTCTGACCCTGTTTTCCTCTGCTTCTGTCTACATCAAATGTCCACCTGCTTCCCTCTATAAGGACACTTGTGATTACATTTAGGGCCCACCCAGGTCATTAGGATAACGCCCCCATCTTAAAATCCTCGACTTAATCGCATGCGCAGGTTCCAGTGTTCAGGACCTGGATATCTTCGAGTGCCACCATTCAGACGACCACACCTCTCTAAACCTCAGTGTCCTCAACTGTGAACTAGGAGACTGTGAGGCTTGACCAAGGTCTTTAGAACAAGCGCTCAGCACAGCGCCCAGCCTAGCACAGGCACTCCATAAAAAGGACGATTGAGTTTCAGTTTCTATGTCTGCAAAATGGGGGCAGAGGGGTGTGGATTCCAGGGGTTTCCCAGCTCTTTCACTCCCTAGGGTGACTCCTCTTCTGTCACCCTGGTCTTTGCCAAGGGAAAAGGAGACCCTGAGAGGGGACATCAATGTTGCCTGCTAGGCCTGGAGTTGGGGAGGCGATGGCTACAGCATGCCCCAGCTTCAGCCCAGGCCAGAGGCAGTCACTTCCTCAGGCTGGTGGCAAGAGGCTGAGGGGGTCCCACACATGCACTCACACACGTGTGCACTCACACACGCGTGCACTCACACACGTGCACTCACACACACATGCACTCACACACACGTGCACTCACACACGCGTGCACTCACACATGCACAGTGCCTCTCAGTGTCTCCACTTTTCTCTCCTTGAAGGCAGTTGGTGTCATTCTCTCTCACTCCCTCTGTCCATCTCCGTCTCTGTGTCCCTCTGTTTCTCACGGTCTCTGTCCTTGACTCTCATTCGCTGTTCTGTCATCTCTATGATTTCCCCTGAGTTAGTCTGTCTGTGGCCTCTCCTACTCTTTCCTCTTCTCTCCCCCATGTCTAGCTCTCTCTCTCTCACTGCCTCTCCCTCTCTATGTCTCTGTCTCGCTCCCTCTCTGTCTCTGCAGGGGACTCTCCTCTTCTCAGCCCAGGAAGTCCTCGAAACCTGTGAGCCTCACCCAGAACCCCGCAAGCAGACGGGATCGGGAGAGGCCCCTGTGAGTCACCAGGAGGAAGGACATTCCTGCCGGTTTTCTGGGATTGTGCACAGCCAGGCCCCCTGCCTGCTCCCTCCCCTAGCTCATGACTGAAACTCACCGGTGTTCACTTGAGGGAGAGACAGAGAGAACGAGTCAGAGAGAGACAGAGAGACAGAAAGAGACAGAAAGAGAGAGAGGGATACAGAGAGAGTGACAGAGAGACAAATATGGAGAGAGACAGCGACAGAGAAAGAATGAAGCAGAGAGATGACAAAAGACAGACAGGGAGACACAGAAGGAGAGAAACAGATTTGGTGAGACCAGAGCAGTCTGAGGAGGGGATGAGTGGAGTCCAAGATAATTCCCCATTCTTTAAATAAAAGAGGAAATTGTGTCAGAGAGTGCTGAGGTCATCTGGCCAGAAAGTGGTCATTGCAGACCACACAGCTTCTCTCTCTTTTTTTTAAATCCTCACCTGAGGACATTTTTGCATTCATCTTCAGACAGAGCAGGGAGGGAGGGAGGGAGGAAGAGAGAGAGAGAGAAACATCGATGTGAAAGAGACACCTGGACTGGCTGCCACCCACACAACCCCAACCGGGCCGGGGACAAACTGCAAGCAAAGTACGTGCCCTTAGCGGGAACTGAACCCAGGACTCTCTGGTCCGCGGGCCGACGCTCTAACCACTGAGTCAAACCGACCAGGGCCACACAGCTTTTTGTGACACCCAAACCTGAGCTTTTCTTTCACTAAGAGATGCCTCCCTTTCACCCTCCCCAGACCCATGTCTCAGCTGGGAGAAGAAAGGGACCCATGGACCACCTGCCCATAGTCACTCGGGAGCTGGATCTCAAGCCTGCCTGGACCAACACCTCAACTTTCTATTTCCCTGCCTCATGCACACTAATGTCTCATTCAGTTTCATGTAAACCCAAAGAGGGACCCACAAGAGGAAACTGAGGTTCAGAAAAGAGGCTATTGCCCTGGCCGGTTTGGCTCAGCAGTTAGAGCGTCAGCCTGCGGTCCGGAGAGACCCGGGTTCAGTTCCTGCTAAGGGCATGTTCCTCGGTTGCAGTTTGTCCCCGGCCCTGGTTGGTCGTGCGGGTGGCAGCCACTCAATGTGTCCCTTTCACGTCAATGTTTCTCTCTCTCTCTCTCTCCCTCCCACTCTATCTGAACAAAAAATGGGAAAATGTCCTCGGGTGAGGATAAAAAAAAAAAGAAAGAAAAAAAAAAGAAAAGAGGCTATCTATTGATATTGAGGCTAGCTAGGGAGTTATAAGCATGACAACCACTGGCCTCAGACTCATGAGGTGTCTTCCCTTCCCACACCAAAGACAGGAAACTAGGACCAGAGTCTAGAGATGGGTGCAACAATACTAGTGACAGTTATAGTTTCTTATCGAGCACCTACTATGCACCAGGAGCCATGGCAAGCACCTTGGGTGCATTCTTTTATGTCCCTAGCACATCAGTCCTGAGAGGGAGGCACTTGTTAGTTCTCCTTTCCAGATAAGGAGCTTGAGGCACAGGGAGGTTAAGAAACCTGCCCAAAACCACAAAGCTAGTTAGTATGTAGGTGGAATTTGAACCCTCAGAGTCTAGCGCCAGCCTGCACACTCTTAATCACTAGGATATATTGCATCTTAGCAGAGGGTTTCTTTGGAACTTTTCTACCTTACCTTTAAATCACTAGCATAAGGCTCCAGTGAATAAGGATAACAATAGTTTCATCATTAGTATAGTGGTAGAGTTAACTCATTGCCTATTATTCTCTCCCTTCCTATTCTATTTCAACCACACTGGCCTCTGTGCTATTCCTAGATCATCAGGCACACCCCCTTCCCCCCTCAGGGCCTTTGCACTGGCTGTTTCCTCTCCCTGGAATTCAATTCTAGACCAATTGCCCAACTTCTTCCCTCACACATTCAGTCTCTGCTCAAATGCCAGCTGCTCAGGGAAGCCCTCCTGGATCACCCCCACTTAACTGACCACTCCTCACTTGTACCTTGCTCCTTCTTCAACCTGGCTTGTTTTTCTCCATTTCATCACTGCCCGACAGCCATAGATTAGATAACACATATCTAACTCCCCTCTGTCACAAGGGCAGGGACTTTGTTTTCTCCTGTGACCCAGTCCTGGACCAGTGCCTGGCACTTAGTAAATAATGAAGAAATTTGTTGAGCTCTCCATGTGGGCCAGCAACTGTTCAGAGATCTCATCTACATTAAATTGCTCTGATTGGTCAGAAGCATCTTGAAACGGGAGAGATGATTTTATCTTTTGCATTTTATTTTACTCAGGAAAAAAAAAAAAGTATTGCCCTGCAAGGTGACTCAGTTGGTTAGAGCGTCATACTGATACTCCAAGGTTGAGGATTCAATCCCTTCAGGGCACATACAAGAATCAACCAATGAATACCTAAATAAGTGGAAAAACAAATAGAAGTTTCTCTCTCTTCCCCCTCTTCCCCCTTCTCTCTAACATCAACCAATTACAAAAATTATTATGAATCTTTACAAACACACAGAAAAAAAGACAGAAGGACATATAAATTACTTTGATCTAATTGATACAAATAGTTTGCTATTTTGCTTTTCTTTTTTCCTAAAGTATATTGAATGCAAACATCAATGACATTAACCTCTAAATATTTCAGTGAGCTATAAAAATTAAGAACAATTTCCCCACATAACCACAAAACCATTGTCATAACAGCACTATGTACTTTTTGGCTAAAGTGTTTTGAAGTAAATTAGAGATGCTATATTATTTCAAGCCCAAATATTCCAGCATTCATCTCTAAATGATAAAGACATTTTCCCACATAATCACAATACCAATTTTCCTCCTAACAAAACTAACAAGAATCCTATATTATCTGGTAATTAGCCACGAATTTCCCATCGGGACAAATTTTAAGACGAGAAGTGAGATCCCTTGCCCAAAATTCCAGAGCCTGAAGAGGGGGGACTGGAATTTGCACCCCAGTGGTCTGGGGACAGAGCTGTGACCATGGATGGTCATGTGAGTCAGAGCTGAGCCAGCCCCCTACTCCGGCTGGCCACTCCCTGGTAAAGGAAGTTTGGCAGGGGGTGACGTGGGGAAGGAGGTGGGGCGCCCATGCCTTTAAGGCTGACTCGCTCTTTCACAAAACATCTGGGAGGAGCCCCCGGGACCACAAAACTGTCTCCTTCCAGGGGCCCGACTCAGAAGTGCAGGAAGGCCGCGGACAGGGGCCGCTGCCTGACATGGGCGTCTCGGGGTTGCTGCGACTGCTGCTGTTGATTCAAACCTGCATTCCAGGTAGGGACTGGGTCCCCAACACCTGCTCAGGGAACTGGATCTGGCGGCAGCAAAGGGAGGGGACAGGAGAGGAGGGGGACTCGTAGTCTGGTGAGTTGAAGGAGAAGGGGAGCTCAGGCCACAGCTCTTTCCACTCAAACAATAGTTCTCTTGCTATCTGTAGCTTCAGGCGGCACAGTAGCTAACACCCAGTAGGTACTCGGGGATTACTAGTTGAGCGAAGGCTTTTAACAACAGCCACCGTTTGGTGAGTGAGCTCTTGATTTCAGGCCTCCTTCGAAGCTCCTTCCTTGTCATTTCACTCTGGGCAGGCTGATCTTTTTTTTTTTTTTTTAATGCCAAGCATTTTTTTTATTATTGATTTTTTAGAGAGAGAGAAGCCTCCATTGTGAGAGCGAAACATACATTGGCTGCCTCCTGCACGCCCCCTGCTGGGGACTGAGCTCTCAACCCAGACATGTGCCCTGACCAGAATCAATCCACAAGACCACGGTCAATCCACTGAGCCACACTGGTGGGCGGAACTATGTTTTAACCAGAAGGAAACTGAGGCACAGAGAGGTTAAGTAACTGGCCCGACGTCACACATTCAGTTCTTGAGTAGGTGGGACTCTGACCCCGCAAGGGCGTCCCACTGCTCTATCCACTCTGTCGACTCCCAGCCCACCAACATAGGCGTTTTACACAAGGTCCAAAAAGGGCCCAGCGGCACGGAGGCAGAAGCTAGGGACCTAAGGCTTGTCTCTCGAGGACCCTCTCAACCTGCTTCCCCCGAAAAATGTAAGGGAAATGGTTGAAAAAACTAGAGGAAATAGAGAAGGAACTGAGTCACAGCCGGGTAGGAAGGGGTTGTTTGGGATTGAGGAGTATTTTGGCAATGAATAACTGGCAAAGTTCCCCCGACGGTTGGAGACCAACAATGAGTAATGATGGAGGATTCCGAACTAGGGGCTGGCGGGCAGGGACCCACAGGGGAGGCCTGGAGGAGGGCGAATAGGCCTTAGAACCCCGGGGTAGGGTTGGGGGGCACTAGCCTGCGGAGCTATAACCTCCGGGAGGAGCTAGTGGGCGGGGAGAGAACCTCGGGGAGGAGCTAGTGGGCGGGGAGAGAACCTCGGGGAGGAGCCAGTGGGCGGGGAGAGAACCTCGGGGAGGAGCCAGTGGGCGGGGAGAGAAACTCGGGGAGGAGCCAGTGAGCAGGGAGCGAACTTCGGGGAGGAGCCAGTGGGCGGGGAGAGAACCTCGGGGAGGAACTAGTGGGAGGGGAGAGAACCTCGGGGAGGAGCCAGTGGGCGGGGAGAGAACCTCGGGGAGGAACTAGTGGGCGGGGAGAGAACCTCCGGGAGGAGCTAGTGGGCAGGAAGAGAACCTCTGGGAGGAGCCAGTGGGCGGGGAGAAAAACTCGGGGAGGAGCTAGTGGGCAGGGAGCGAACCTCCGGGAGGAGCTAGTGGGCAGGGAGAGAACCTCGGGGAGGAGCCAGTGGGCGGGGAGAGAACCTCGGGGAGGAACTAGTGGGAGGGGAGAGAACCACCCGGAGGCCTCAGTGCATGCTACTGCATAGCTGGGTTAGAATCTCCCCAGAGGGCTGATGGACCGGGTTAGAACTTCCGAGTGGGCTGTTGGGCGGGAGATGACGTTGGGGAGAGGTTTTGAAGGGGGAAGAACCTGGGGAAGAGAGTGTGTATGTGGGGGGGAAGGTATAGTTAGTAAAGAGCAGGGGGTACAGAGATAGAACGTAAAGATCCTCCGAGTCGATTGAGGCTGGAAGGCCCCTAGGAGATCTGACGGAGTAGACTGAGGGTCAGCGGGGTGTGGGAGCAGAGCTTGACTGTCCGGAGGGACAAAGAGCGTGGAGATAGGACTTTTAGGATAGGACCCGCACGGGGACAGATTTCAAGGGGAAAAGAACGAGAGGAAGACTTTAGGGATATAGAATCTTAGGAAAGCGGTGCCGAGATAGAACATTGAGCCAGAGATAAACTAGAATTGCAGCTGGCCCGAACCCAGGAGCTGACAGAATGTGGAGCACGAACCTGAGTGCACAGGGCTTGGAGATTTGGTCCTGGTACTGGGACATCCGAGGGCGAGAGCGAGGGTCCTGGCGCAGAGCTCTAATGAACTCTCCTGGTGTCTCCTCCCTCTCCCCCCAGCCACCTGGGCTCTGCGGTGCATGCGGTGTGAGAGGAATGGGAATTGCCAGGTGGAAGAGTGTGCCCCTGGCCAGGATCTCTGCAGGACTACCGTCTTGAACATATGGGAAGGTAAGCTCCCCTACTCCAGCGCCACAGGAAATGCAAGTGACCAAGAAACCTTGTCCAACAGCTATCAGGGAGGGAAATGCAAACAAAAACAAAAGGAGACCCTGTTTCACGCCCACCAGATTGACAAGTATTTAAAAATCTGATAATGCTGGGGTTGATGAGGATGTGGAGCTGCTGACCTTGCTTTTAGGGTGTTAAATGGTGCATCTACCCCACAGAGTGATTTGGCAATGTCTAGTGTAGACGGAGATTAGAGTACCCTAAGGCCAGCATTTTAACTAGGAATATAGAAACACCAAAGAACCTTGGCTGCATGTGCCCAGGGACACATGTATAAGAACGTTCATAGCAGTAATGTTTGTGATATGGAAAATTGGAAACACCCCAAAGTCACTCAGCAGCAGAGGAGAAAATTAAGGTGTAATCACATAATGAAATACTACACAGCAGTTTAAATGAAGAAACTAGAGCCGTGGGTATTAATGTGGATACATCTCAAAAACATCAAGTTGAGAGAGAAAAAAAGCATGTTGCAGAGTACGATACCTTTAAATATAAAGTGTGAAATATGTAAAACAACAGTGTATGTTGTTATGCATAGAATGTGTGAGAATTACCTACACCAGTGATTGGCTCTGGACAGGGCATAGGGGAATGTGATAGGGGAGGGGAGGGGGGCTAGTAGAAGGCTTTCACTGTATCTTTTAAGTTTAGTTTTATATATATATATATATATATATATCTGAAACAAATATAGCAAAATGCTAATATTTTATAAAGTTGGATGATGAATACACAGTATTTATTATATCATTGTCTTATACTTTGGGGTAAGCTTAAAGCATTTTTCTTTAAAATTTTCTATTAAAATTTTCTCCCTGCTAAGATCACTGAGCCAGGAAGGAGAGGTAGATGGATCTAGAAGGTCCCAATGACAGTGTTGTCATTGAGAGAGAGTAGGCTCCCTGTGAGGGGTAGGGAGGAGAGGGGGGATAACTCTAGAGAAGACAGAGTTGGACCCAAACAAAAGTAGAGGCCTGGGGTTCAGCCACAGGAGTGGGTGACCTTAAGACCAGGAATGTTAGAGGCTGGTTGGGCTCAGGAGAGCCTCTAGGGTGACAAAGATACATTCCTCACAGAAGATGAAGAGTTGGAGGTGGTGGAGACAGGCTGTGCCCACTCAGAGAAGACCAATAGGACCATGAGCTATCGGACAGGCATGAAGATTATCACCCTGACAGAGATCATGTGTGGATCAGATTTGTGCAACCGGCCCAACCCTGGTGAGTAGGACAGCCCTTGCCATGCCTAACCCCAAACTGTCTCCAACTCAACCCCATTGTCATTCCAATCCTATCATCAATCTTATGCCACCCCAACCTCATCTCCATGCCTTACTCCAGAACCAACCCCAACTCAACTTCACCTCCAGTCTCATCCCCAAATTCACCTTACCCTTAACACCAACTTAAATTCATCCTTATTCCAAACACATCTCTAACCCCATCCTTCACTCTACTCCATTTCATCTCAAACTGTCCCCAATCCACCCACAAACTCATCCTCTTCCCTAACTCTATCCCATCTCATAAATGTTTGTTTTTATGGTTCTTAAGTATAAGATGCAATACCTGCCCTTACAAAGCTACACACACATACACCTACTCAAGAGGTAGATAAAGTATCTCACTGATGATTTGTCATCTAACCTTTTCCATGGGACAGAGATTGTTCGAACAATAGATGCTAAGGGACCAGGATATAAAGACCAGAGATACAAGAGACTCAGAATTCTTAAGGGAAGTCAAAGAGGAAGGATTACAGACTGCAGTGGGCTCAGAAAGTTCCCTAGAACAGATGGTCCTTGACTTGAGCAGTGGAAAAGAATGTGAAGAAACTTGTGTTGAGCCCAGCTGGTATGGCTCAGTGGATTGAATGTTGTCCCATGAACTGAGTTGTCCCTGGTTCAATTCCTGTTCAGAGCACATGCCCAGATTTCGGGCTCCATCCCCAGTAGGGGGTGTGCAGGAGACAGCCAATCGATGTTTCTCACATCGATGTTTCTATCTCGTCCTCTCCCTACCTCTCTAAAAAAAATCAATAAAAACATATTTTAAAAAAAGAAAGAAACTGGATTGAGTTTGTGGCTCTAGGCTTTGGTCAGTTTTAAAAAAAGACTCAGAAAGATTCCAATCCCCAAGTTCCTACAGGAGAGAAAGGATGGGGAAGGAAGGGAGAGGGTGAGGCAGAGATTCCTCTGTCTGGCCCTAATGAAGAAGGAAATTGGTTAAGGCCAGTTCAATCACAATGCTGTCAGTAAGTTGAGAGCCTGTTTATACTGTTTTTTTCTTGTTCTTCATCCATCCTGACTGCAAACTTTTATCTATTTGTGGGAACTGAATCAGATGCTCATTTTCAAGGAAGTGATAAAGTGACAAGAGAGGGAACATTGGCTTCCTTTCTCGGTTAGATGTGCTTAAGGAAAACCCTAATAATTGGATCTCAGTAATGCTTCTGATAAGAGATAGTATTCAAAATATTTAACAATATTGGTCAGTGCAAAAGACATTGATCAATTGGAAGAGGCCCCTGGAGGCCCTGTGCTGGGCCTGGTGTTGCTCCTTTAGCTGATGGATCTTGGGGACGAGGATTTTAAAGAAAAAGTTGAGAGTAGTCAGGGATCCACCAGAGAGCTTGGAGCAGCAGCTAGCAATTCCATAATTTAATGACTGACATGCCTCTAGCAGCTCCCTCCCTTCCTCCCTTCCTTCCTTCCTTCCTTCCTTCCTTCCTTCCTTCCTTCCTTCCTTCCTTCCTTCCTTCCTTCCTCTCTTTCTCTTCCTTCCTTTCTTTCTTTCTCTCTTTCTCTCTTTCTTTCTTTCTTTCTTTCTTTCTTTCTTTCTTTCTTTCTTTCTTTCTCTGTTTGTTTCTATTATCTTTATTGTTGTATTACAGATTTCCTCCTTTCCCCTCCCTTTGACACCCTCCTCCTCGCTCCCATCTCCCCCTGCCTTCACCAGATTTTTGTCTGTGACCATTGGTTATGCATATATACATGTAAGTTCTTTGGTTTATCTCTTCCCTCCCTGCCCCCCCCCCTTCCCTCTGAGGTTTGTCAGTCTGTTCCCTACTTCCATGTCTCTGGATGTGTTTTGTTTATCAGCTTATTTTGTTCATTATATACCACAAATAAGTGAGATCTTGTGATACTTGTCTTTCTCTGACTGGCTTATTTTGCTTAACATAATACTCTCCAGGTCCCTCCATGTCTTCTCAAAGGGTAATAGATCCTTCTTTTTTATAGCTGCATAGTATTCCATTGTGTAAATGTACCACAGCTTTTTTATCCATTCATCTATTGATGGGCACTTGGTCAGCCCCATTTCTAATGCCATCTTACCCTGCATGTGGTGATTAGAATAGTTGGTTAAACCACATCCTGTACATAAGTGACACTGGGACATACCTATGACCCAGACAGCCTTAGGCCCTGACTCCACAGAGCTCACAGTCCAGTGGAGGGGGGAGGGTGTGAGAGGCCCATCACCAGACACTGCTGACTGCTGAGCGTAATCAGAGCTGGGATAGGGGAAGCACAGGTCAGAACCATAATAGGGAAAACAGATCAGAGGGTCAGAGATGTCATGGGGAAGCACAATCCAGAATTGTCAGGGCTGTGATGGAGGAAACAGAGGCCAGAGTGATCAGGGCTGGGATGAGTGAAAAGAAAGGGCTGTGGGACCCTCGAGGAGATACTCGACTCAGGTCAGAGAAGGTTTCCTACAGGAAGCAATAGCTAAGCTGGATCTTGAGGGTGAGTAGGAGTCAGATTGTTAAAAAGACAGTGGAAAGGGTTTTCCAGGCAAAGGGAGCAATAGATGCAAAGGCCCAGAGGTGGGTGGAAGTAGTATGGCTGGAGGAAAGGGAAAAATGGGGTGAGATGAACTGGTGAAATTGGCAGGGTCATATTACACAGGGCCTTCTAGGCTGTGGTGAGGAGTATAGACTTCATCCAGGGAATGGTGGGAGATCATGATAGAAGGATGTGATGATGGAGGGAAACTGTGATGGAGGGATGTGATGATGGAGGGGTGTGGTGATGGAGGGAATATAGGGAAGGGGAGACCAACTTGGAGGTGGATGAGGTTGTCCAAGTGAAGATGAAGGTGGCTGCATTAGAGTGTCAGCCCTGCAGATGGAGAGAAGTGGATGGATTTTGCAGCTCTTCACCAGTAGATGAGCAAGAATTAGTGATAGGTTAGACATGGCAGTGGCTTTGTAATTCTGGTTACTATAGAGCCGATTGTATAAGACTAACCCCCTGCCAATGGCAGCTGTGGAAGCTGGATAGATTATGAATAGTTATTTGAATTCACTGGAGGACAGTAGATGAAGAGGAGACGTTGAGGGGCTACAATCTTTGAAACAGGGAAGCACAGAAGGTGAGTTCCACAGACAAGCTGGGCTTTTCGTTGAGTGTACTTTCCAATTTGCTACTGTGGAGGAGAAGTAAAAACCACACAGTGAGAGATCATCACTAGACCAAGAAGACAGAAGTGGAGTCTGGGGCTGTTAGAGTGTCTAGAAAATGAGAGGCAAAAGCCAGAGAAGGGAGTCCTCAAATCTGTAAATGACTTCGTTCAGTCTTTGGCAAGCTGTACATGCGTAAGGTGACTCCAAGAAAGTAAGCAGAAAATAGTATCTGAGAAACTACAAATCTGAGCAAGGATTCCAGCAGTCATAGGATGCTGGGGAGACCCCAGGTGCCAAGTTGGCAAGAGAGGCCTTGGTAACCATCTCAAGCTTTTTCTGAGACCACACCCTAGGAGTAGGGGCAAAACTGAAATCGACCAGTCCTAAAAATGCCTACTTCCAGTCTTCAGCAGAAAGAAAACCTAACCTTCTTTAGAAGAAGATACATCATTTAGAGCCTTTACAAATTTTCATCTATAATGTCTGGCATCTAATCGAAACTCACAATGTAGCCTGAAAAAAATAAAAAGGACCAATTGACCAGAAACCAAGAGGAAAATCCAACAATAGAAACAGACTCATAATGATTCAGATATTGGAGTTATTAGACAGGGAACTTTACAATACCTATGATCAATATAGTCAAGAAAATAGAGGAAAGAATAAGTTTTAGCAGAAATCTGGAATCCATTTTTAAAAGAGTCAAACAAGAAATCTAGAACAATGACTGAAATTAAAACGTGATAGCTATGCTCAATAGCGATCAGAAACAGCACAGCAAAAGGATTAAAGAACTAGAAACAGGGCAGTAGAATATCCGGATTGATACTTAGATGTGGAGAATCAAGGAGTTGGCTAAGTTTCTGCCCTAGAGGACTGATGGGGCCATCTCAGAGATGTGGAATTCAGGAGAAGGAGCAGGTCTGGGGAGAAGATGGAGAGTTTCATTTGGGGCATGTAGAGATTTGGGTGTTTGAGGGCTAGCCCTGGGGTCTTCAGGAGGCAATTGGGTATTGGGTGTGGAGCTCAAAGTGAAATCTTGCCTGGAGAGATATTTATGAGTTCCCAGCAGGTAGGCAGAAATGAAGCCGTGTCTAATAGGTAACATCCCCATGGGAAAGAGTGTGCACCATGACGAATGAAAAGGGCCTGAGGCAGAGCCTTGAGGATCACCCACATTTAGAAGAATGAGATCAGAAGAGCCCCCAAAGGAGACCCATGGGCGGTATGAGACAGCTATTTTGCAATGATGGCAATTTGTGTGTTCATTTTTATGGAATTTCATGTGAGATGACATGGGATATTGGCCTTTTAGTTACTTTTCTCTGAGGATGGGGGAGATTTGGCCTTTGGTGTAATTGGTGTACCTAATCACAGCTGCTGGCTTGCCAGTAGAGGGTGTTGGCTGAGACAGCCCTCTCATTTCTCTAAGACTTGGCCCAAACTCAACTCGGATATCTGGGGTCAGGACTGGCTAGGCATGCTAGGCTTGGGGATGGTGTGAGCTAAGGCCTGGGCACAGAAATGACTGGTGTATCCAAGGAAAGTAACTCCTTCGCTTGGCCTGACCTGGAAGGTTCATAGGAGTAGCAAAGTTATCACAGATCAATCAAGTGAAGCTTTGATTCCCCGACACACTTGGGCAGTGTATTAAGTATCTATTGCAGCATTACAGATTGCTCCGAAATTTAAAACAAAGATAAGCATGCATTATTTCACAAAGTTTCTGAACATCAAGAATCCAGGAGTGGCTTGGCTAGATGGTTCTGGATCTTTCATGTGGTTGTAGTGAGATGACAGATGAGCTGCAGTCCTCTGAAGGCGCCCAGTGTAGCTTCACTCACGTGGATGATCCACTTCCTTGGCTTTGGCAAAGCCTCAGTTCCCATCACCTTGCCATGGGGCTGACTGAGTGTCCTTACAACCTGGCAGCTGGCTTCCTCCAGAGCAAGTAATCCAAGAGAGAGCTGGGAAAAAGTTGCAATGTCTTTTACAGTCTAGCACAGAAATCACGCACCGTCATTCCTACAGTATCCCTTTGGTTACAGAGGTCAGCCCTGTTCTTTATGGGAAAGGACTACATAAGGGTATAAATACCAGGAAGCAGGGATCACTGGGGGCTGTCTTGAAGACTGGATACCACAAGGAACAATAGAAAGGTTTTAAGTAATTGTTCATTCATTCATTCATTCATTCATTCATTCAATAAATATTTATTCAATATCTTCTCTGGACCAGGCCTTCTGCTGGGTGGTGTTGGGACACAGTAGTGATGAGGACACCTTTGGCTCTACCCCCCTGGGGCTCAGAGTCTACTGAGGGAAACAAGCCAGTCACTAGACAGAAATGACCCAGAGCAAGCAGGGCTGGGATTGGGGAGTCCAGAGAGGTACCTGATCCAGCCTAAAAGGTCAGGGAGGGCATCTTGGGGAGGTTGTGAAATTGGAGAAGATGACGCCTGAAGAATGGACGGAAAGTAGATAGCAGGGGAACAGCAGATGCAAAGGCTAGATGTGTCTGCATGTATATCTGGGGGCTGAGAGAAGATGTGTGGAGTAGAGTGTGAGGGGCTAGTGGAGTGAGATGAGGCAGGAGAGGTAGCCAGGACCCAGTTTTTGATGGGCCATGAATGCCACACTGAGAATCGTGGATTTTATGCTGAAGGCACTGGGGAGCCATGGAAAGGTTTTGAGCAGAGAAGAGACAGGGTCAGAGGTGAATATTAGAAATATCCTTTTAGGGCCACGTAGGATGCACTAGGGCTAGGGTGGGAGACAATGGAAACTGGGAGACCAGGAAGGAAGCTGGTATTGAAGAAGGTCTGAGCTGGACCTGGTCATGGGACTAGAAAGGAGGGAATGGGTTCTAGAAAGATTCAGAATGACCAAGGTTTGATGACTGGCTGAAGAGTGAGATAAGGAGCTGGATCTCCAGGACTCTCCCCATTGACTCCCCCTCCTGCCTCCCCCAATCAGGCCGGACTCCCGCCTTTCCCCGAAGCCGAAACCGTTACCTCGAATGTATTTCCTGTGCCTCTTCAGACCTGAGCTGTGAGAGGGGCTGGGACAGGAGCCTCCAATGCCGCAACCCTAGAGAACAGTGCCTAGAGGTGGTGACCCTGGAAGGTGAGCCCTAACCTGCCAGAAACTCCTCCTCCTTGCTTCGCTCCTTCCCAAGGCTGCACGTGAATCCCCAAATAGCAGGGATTTAAGCAAGGTACACAGTTCTCTCTCACACACAAAAATCCAGTGATAGGAAGTACAGGGCCACAAAGGCAGTTCCACCGTCACCTGGAACCCAGATGCTTTCTCATTTCTTACATATTGCTGCCATTCTCAAGATTGCCTCATAGTTCCAAATAGCTGCCAGAATTCCAGGCCTCATGTCCAAGTTCCAGGAAGAAGGAAGTTGAGCTCAGCCAGAGTGGCTCAGTTGATTGAACATGCCCCATGCACCGAATGGTTGCCAGTTTGATTCCTGGTCAGGGCACACACATGGGTTGCGGGTTTGACCCCCAGTTGGGGAGAGTACAGAAGGCAACCGGTCAATGTTTCTCTGTCACATCGATGCTTTTCTTTCTCTCTCTTCCTCTCTCTAAGCATGTCCTCTGGTGAGGATTTTAAAAAAAGAAAAAGAAGAAGAAGAAGAAGGAAGATTAAAAGAAGGGGCAAAAAAGAGAACCTCTCCTTTTGTAAGGGTTCTTCTTTCTGGAAGTCCCATTAAACTTTCTACTTACATCACATTGACCAGAACTTAGCCACATGACTCTAGTTACCGAGGCTAGAAAATGTGTCTTTGGCTAGATATATGGCTGCCCTAAAGAAATGAGGGTCCTGCCTGGCCAGTGTGGCTCAATGGTTGAGCATCGACCCATACACCAAGAGGTCGCCGGTTCGATTCCTGATGAGGGCATATGCCCCGGTTGTGGGTCCGATCCCCAGTGAGGTTACATGCAGGAGGTGACCAATCAATGTTCTCTCTCATCAATGTTTCTATCTTTCTCTTCCTATCTAAAATCAATAAAGAAAAAAAAATATTTAAAAAAATAGAAATGAGGGCCCTGGCCAGTTTGGCTCAGCGGTTAAAGCGTCGGCCTGCGGTACAGAGAGACCCGGGTTCGGTTCCCGCTAAGGGCACGTACTTCGGTTGCAGTTTGTCCCCGGCCCTGGTTGGTCGTGCGGGTGGCAGCCACTCGATGTGTCCCTTCACGTCGATGTTTCTCTCTCTCTCTCCCTTCCTCTCTCTCCCTCCCACTCTATCTGTACAAAAAATGGAAAAATGTCCTCGGGTGAGGATTAAAAAAAAAAAGAAAGAAAGAAATGAGGGCCCTGGCCGGTTTGGCTCAGCGGTTAGAGCGTCGGCCTGCGGTCTAGAGAGACCCGGGTTCGGTTCCCGCTAAGGGCATGTACCTCGATTGCAGTTTGTCCCCGGCCCTGGTTGGTCATGCAGGTGGCAGCCACTCGATGTGTCCCTTTCGCATCGATGTTTCTCTCTCTCTCTCTCCCTCCCACTCTATCTGAACAAAACATGGAAAAATGCCGTCGGGTGAGGACTAAAAAATAAATAAATAAATAAAATAAAAAAAGAAATGAGGGTCCTATAATGAAGGGTGGAGCAGAGAATGGACAGATGACTGCTGCAGTGGGCAAATCCAGGGTCAGCCCTTCATCAACAATCTGACCTCTCTCCTCTGCCCCACACAGGGAGTCTAAAGAATGAGCGCAACTTGAGAGGCTGTGGCAACCTTCCTGGCTGCCCAGGCCCCACTGGCTTTCACAACAACCACACCTTGCACTTCCTGCGCTGCTGCAACACCACCAAATGCAATAAGGGACCAGGTAAGGGGCCGGAGATCCAGGATGGGGCGGTGCACTCAAGGACATTGCCAGTCTCTTGCAGGCAAACCCCTCCTCTCTAGGTCTCCATTTCTTCCTCTGAAAGGTGGACATAGTGCTCCTTTCTCAAAGAAGGATTTGTGGGAATTCAGTGAGTCTATCAAACCTTCACCAAGACCCACATTTGGTGGTTCCTACAGCCTCTTGAATCCTTCTACTGCTCACCACCCTGTTGCAATAACCTCTCACTTAGATTGTTGAAATAACCTCCTCTCTGATCTTGATCCCCCTGACACCCTACAGCCAATGTTCAACACAGCAGCAAGAGAGATATTTAAAAAATGTAAATGAGCCCTGGCAGGTATTGCTTAGTGGTTAGAGCGCTGGCCGGCACACCGAAGTGTTGCAGGTTCAATTCCTGGTCAAGGGGACATACCTGGGTTGCAGGTTCTATCTCTGGCCCCAGCCAGGGGCATGAGGGAGGCAACCAATCAGAGTCTCTTTCACATCGATGTCTTTGTTTCTCTTTCTCTCTCTCCCTTCATCTTTCTTTAAAAATCAATGAAAAAAATATACTCAGGTGAGAATTAACAATAACAAAACATGTAAATGAGATCTTGTCACTCTCCTTCCTTAAGCACTTTAACAACTTCCCCTTGCTCTTGGAATAAAATCCAAAGGCCACGCTATTCATCACCAACTTGCCTCATGGTCTTGATTTAGTTTCTACAACTGCCAAACGCTGCCCTGCCTCATGGCCTTTGCACACACAGCACCCTCCACTAGGAACACATCTCCCTGAAGAGTTCACCTGACTGACTGTTTATCATTCGGGTCTCAGCTTTAAAGTATCATCCTCAGTGAAACATTCCCTGTCCCTCCCCTTCAGTATAATCTAGATCCCTCGTGTTACTCTGTCTCTATGAAATGGTATTGTTCCACAGAGTTCCACAGTGAGGGAAATGTTCTTATCTTTACTGTGCAATATGGTTGCCAGTCCCACAAATGGCTGTGAAACAGTTGACATGTGAACCGAATTTTGAATTTTATTTCATTATTATTAATTAATTCTAATGTAGATGCAACCACATGTGGCTAGTAACACATGGGACAGTCTCACTCTAACATGTAAGTTCTGTGAGGATAGGGACTGTTTGATCTTACCCAGATGCTTACCAGCTGGTCAGGCCAGGACTCTAGGGACCTAAGAGTTGGGATTTCCCCCACAGGTCCCCAAGAACCGCGCAAGAGAGTGCCATTCCAATGTCTACCACGAGGGGGCTTCATGCCATCTTCTCAGGCTGAGAGATGAGAGTCCATGCAAGGAATAAGGACACCTCTCCCTACACCCCAACCCAGTCCTAATTTCGTTGTTCTCTTGTCTTCTCCCAAGTCCTGGAGCTTCAAAACTTGCCACTGAATGGCCTCCAGTGTTACAGCTGTCAGGGGAACAGCACCGATGGATGTTCCTCCGACAAGACCTTCCTCATTGCCTGTCGAGGCCCCATGAATCAATGTCTGGAAGCCACAGGCACTGAAGGTGAGGCCCTTTGGGAGGTTGGGAGGGGATACTTAATGGAGTGGGGGGTGGTCTGCAAGAACTTAACTTCCAGTTTAGCGAGACTTAATTGAGGTGGATCTTCCTATGGGACTTCCTTCAGCAGGGTGCAAATTGTAGTAAGAAATTAGGACTTGCCCATTAGGAAACAGATATTTCAGCCATAGAAATGTGGCCTTTTTCGGGGGTGGGACTTCCTATGGACACCCTGGGTTTCCATCCTGTGACATCCTGGGAAGGTCTCTGTTCCAGTAGTTCTCAAACTTTTTGGTCTTCAGATTTCTTCACTCCCTTAAAAATTATTGTTTATGTCAGTTATATCTATAAGATATTTATTGCATTAGAAATTAAAACTGAGAAATTTTTATGATGTATTAATATATTTTAAAATAACAATTTAAAAACTCATTGCACGTGAACATGTTTTTATGGGGAAAACAAAGACTAGATTTTCCAAAATGAAAAAATTGGATGAGAGGACTGGCATTGTTCTACACTTTTGCAACTCTCTTTACTGTCTGGCTTAACAGAAGACAGCTGGATCCGCATATCTGCTTGTGCATTCAGTCTGTTGCACGACCACATGTGCTGGTGGTTCTGGAAAACCCCATTGTAAGCTCAGGATAGCAAAAAAAGCCAAGTGATGTTTTGGCGTTATTATGAGAATAATTTTGACGTCACAGATCCCCTGTACCACACTTAGAATTTCTGCTTTTTCCAGGTGGCATCCACCACGAGGTGGCTCGTCACCTAGTGAGAAGCTCAGGCCCAGGAGCTGGGAGTCTCACACAGTTTTCTCCCTCCTCAGGGCCAGGGAACCCATACTATACAGTAAGAGGCTGTGCAGCACCTTCTTGGTGCCAAGGCCTCCATGTGGCTGAAGCCTTCAGATTGCACCATGCCAACGTCTCCTGCTGTACTGGAAATGGATGTAATGACCCAAACAAAGACGTGCAGTCCCGAAAGGGGGGCGCCCCCCGGCCTGGCCCTGCCCACCTCAGCCTCAGCATCATCCTACTTACGACTGTGAGACTATGGGGAGGAACTCTCCTCTGAACCTGAACCTCACACTCTCCCTGCCCTGGCTGGATCAGGGGACCCCTTTGCCCTTCCCTCAGCTTCCAGGTCTGCAGACTTGCTGTGTGACTTCCGACCAGTGTGCTGTTTCCTCTGGGCCTCAGTGTTCCCCGCTGTGAAGACACCTGTCTCACAGAATTATGACAACCAGAGGAGAAAAGCTGGAAGAAGGCTGTGAGCCAGCAGAAGAGTTCTTATTACTAATATTGTTGGCGCTATTGTTATTATTAATTAATATTTGTTTTATTTAATATTTTATACTTATATAAATATTTTTATACCAACGAGCAGGGCCAGGTTGTCTCTTCTTCATAGCATCGGTCTTTCGAAGGATGCATGAGGGCACCCTTCCTCGGGCTCCTGGAATTAGGGATCTCCTGGTAGGACCCAGGAGGTCAAGGCCTCCACGTTGGGAGCAGTCCTTTGTGGGCTTCCACCCTAAGTCACCTCCACATCTATTTCTGGACTCCAAATGCAACCTTCTAACTTACCCACCTAAGCTCTAACTTTCCAGTCTCTTCTCCCAAACTCCAAAGGTCAAGACTACTGTGTTGTCCAATGGAGACATATCCGCATTTCCTGCGGGCTCTGTGATGGATGTATGGGAGATAACCTCCCTTGATGCACTGCAGCGAGGAACAAGAACTGGACTACATTTCCCCTGATGCTCTGGGGCCAGGAGATAAAGGCTGGGCTCTAGGATACCCTCAGACTCACTGACAAAACTGCAGAACTGCCATTTCAGTGGCACTCTTTTTTTTTTAATCCTCACCCAAGGATATTTTTCCATTTTTGTTCAGATAGAGTGGGAGGGAGAGAAAGGAAGAGAGGGAGAGCGAGAGAAACATCAACATGAGAGGGACACATCGACTGGTTGCCTCCCACACAACCCCAACCAGGGCCGGGGATGAACCACATCCGAGGTATGTGCCCTTGACCGGAATCGAACCCACGACTCATTGGTCCGCGGGCTGATGCTCTACTGCTGAGCCAAACCAGCCAGGGCCAGTGGCACTCTTGGAGCACGCTATTGAAGAGCTCATGTTTTCCATGGTTCGCTGAGGCAAACCCATAGAGACAAAATGACATGGGGCCCTATGGCAAATGAAGAAAGACGTAAATCACCTTTCATGGTCTTTGGAGCAAGGTGAGCAGGGTTTCTTTTTAGGACCGCCTCAAATCACATCTCCCCAACTATCATGGTGGGGCTTAAAGAGATGGGGTCTGTTTCTCTCCCTCTTGAACATGAGTGGCTTTTTGACTGCTTTGACCAATAGAGTGTGGTGGAAGGTATGCCTAGCCATGTTCTGGGACCAGGCTTTCAGGACCTGTCTGGTTGTGGGAAGCCAGCTGCCACATGACAGTCCTCCTGCACTGAGACTGCTGTGCTACGAGGACGCCCAAGCTGCTCATGCATGGATGCCATATGGAGGGAGAGCCGCAGGTGTCCCAGCCATCTCAGCCCAGGCGCCACACAAGTGGGCGAAGGAGCTCCCCTGGACATCGCACCCCAAGTAGACATCGTGTGCCAGAGAAGCAGGAAACCCAGCTGTCTGTGTTTCCTGGGGCTGCTGTAATAAATCCTACAAAATGACAAACTGGGTGGCTTCAAACAACAGGAATTTATTCTCTCAGAGTTCTGGATGCTAGAAGTCCACAATGTAGGTGCTGGTAGAGCCATGCTCCTTCTAAAGCCTCTTCCCAGCTTCTGGTGCTGCCGACAGTCCTTGGAGTTCCTTGGCTTATAGCTACATCACTCCAAACTCTGCCTGTGCCGTCATGTGGCTGTGTCTGTGAATGTGGCTGTGTCCGCGAATGTGGCCGTGTCTCCAGCTCTCTTTCCTTATAAGGACACCAGTCACGGATTTAGGGGCCCACCCTAATCTAGTATGACCTCATCTTAACTTAATCACATCTGCAAAGATCCTATTTACAAATAAGGTCACATTCATAGATCCTGAGGGTTAGGACTACTCAACATATATTTTGAGGGGACACTTTCAACCCACACTGCCACTTAATAGCCAGAACCAAGGTTTCAGATATATGGCCCTGGTAAACCATCTCCTCCATCTCCAGCTGTTCAGGCCAGCCCATTTTGGCCCCTGTCTTTTGTGAAGCAGACATGCACGGATCCTGATGAGCCTTGCTGAAATGCCTGACCCACAGAGTCATAAAATAAAAAGGTTGTGGTTTTACACCACTGGGTTTGGGGTTATTTTGTTACACTGCAATGGTTAACTGGAACAGTCATTTGTTTGCTCACTACTGTCTTCCCAGTACCTAGAATAGTGTCTGGGACATGGTTGATGTAGAAAAGAAGGAGGGAACAAAGAAAAAAAAAGACTATGCCTTCTATGGTATCTTACCACAAAACTGGGGGAGGACACCAACTCCCATCATGTCCTACAGCAGAGATGAGGCCAAGATGACATTTTCTGAATGCTCCATAATTTAAATTGAGGATAATTTCACCTTTGCCATGACTCCCTATGACAGAAACTGCAGGCTAGAATTATATCCACCATGGTGCCCTACAGCAGAGATGGGAGGTTAGCACCACATTTCCCATGGTGCCTTTCAGCAGGAACTGAGGCTAGGACTGCATCTCCCATGAGACCCAATGGCAGAGGTTGGAGGCAATGATTATATCTCCTATGATGCCCTATAGCAGATTTTGAGGCTAAGAGTAAATTTCTCATAATGTTCTATACCAGAGATTGTAATCAGGACCTCATTGTTACTGGCTTCTAAGACATTGTTCAGGAATCTCAGTTGCAAGAAGTAAAAGCTATTTAAGCTGACTTAAGCAAAAATGACAAAGTTATTAGAAGTTTAGAATCCAGGCAAGAGCTAGGTCTCTGGGCCTCACCAGGGACAGGAAACAGAATTGAAAAGCTATGTGTGAAATTAAGGTTGTCTCCCTTTTGCAAAATCTCTCTGTCACTCTCTCTCTCTCTCTCTGAATGTGTGGCTTCCCTTGTTGGCTTCCACTTTATTTTTCTGTCTCTCCATAGACTGCCTTCATTTGCTTCACACATAGTAGCCAAAGATGGCCTTGAAATGTCAAGTACTAAGAACTACTGAATCCTGGTCCTAAATTTTTAGCAGGCAGACTCTGATGGGGTTTAATTTGGATCAGGAACAGTCAACCCAGGGTGTGTAGCCCATTTCTTTCCCCTCCCCCCTAAATAGCAGGTGCAGCATCTGTATCCCCAGTATCATTTCTGCTTGAGAAAGCTGATTTTACCTCTGGCCTGGGGGGCAGGGGGGGCCTTTGGCTCATGTCTAATATAAATCAGTGTAATATCAACCCCTGGCCATTGATACTGGTTCAGCGATAGCAGGTAGCATCATCTGGACCAATGAGACACAATGAAAGGTTTTTCTAGGGGCTACTGGGGAAAAATATTTCACCTCTTTCCTGTGGGAGCTCTTCTCTCCCCTCTCTCTTCCCACCTTAGGGTCTCTCAGTCTATTTTTCTGTCTTTTTCTCTCTCTGTCCTTCCCAAATGTGAAGGAAAGTGAAGCCCCAGGGGTATTTACCAGCCATCCTGCAACATTAGGGGAAACATTTATCCTTAGGACTGAGATGGACAGACCATGCTGAAGACAGTCACATCCAAGATTATTTTTTTGTCCTCATCCGAGGACATTTTTGCATTTATCTTCAGATAAAGCGGGAGGGAGAGAGGGAGGAAGAGAGAAAGAGAAACACCAATGTGAGAGAGACACATCGACTGGCCGCCACCCACACAACCCCAACCGGGGCCAGGGACAAACTGCTCTTAGCAAGAACCGAACCCAGGTCTCTCTGGTCCTCGGGCCTATGCTCTAACCGCTGAGCCAAACTGGCCAGGCCAGGGCAAGACTATTTTTCTATGTGAAATGATTCTCTTTCTCTTAAGCCAGTTGGGTTAGACTTGCTATCACTTGCATTAAAATCCTAATAAAGTGTCCTGGAGTAGGATGGCAACAGGATACCCACTCTCATGATATCCTCAGATGGAAGAAATGGTGGGATGAGAACCAAAACATCTCACAGGGTTTCCTGCAGCTGGAGCAAGAGAGATTGGTGAGATCCATGGGCAAGGAGACCTATAGGTTCTTGGAGACAAAGACAACTATTAGCTACCCTCTAACCAAACCCAGGTTAGACACCTCTCTCCCACGTAGCCCTGGGAGAGTTAGAAATGATCCAGCCTGGCCCTGGCCGGTTTGACTCAGCGGTTAGAGCGTCGGCCTGCGGTCCTGAGAGACCCGGGTTCGGTTCCCGCTAAGGGCGCGTACCTCAGTTGCAGTTTGTCCCCAGCCCTGGTTGGTCCTGCGGGTGGCAGCCACTCGATGTGTCTCTTTCACATCGATGTTTCTCTCTCTCTCTCTCTGTTCCTCTCTCTCCCTCCCACTCTATCTGAACAAAAAATGGAAAATGTCCTCGGGTGAGGATAAAAAAAAAAAAAAAAAGAAATGATCCAGCCTGACCACCTCTTTCCCCAATTTACAGAAGGGTAGACTGAAAATGGAAAAGGAAGGGAATCACTCAGAGCTATGGTCCTGGGGATACACAGAGGTTGATGGGGGATTTGGTGCAAAGGACAGAGAGGATGCTGGGAGCTGGGCACTGAGGACAGAAAGGGTGTCTGGAGCTGAAGTCCCTTGGTGGGCCCATGTATAGAATAGCTCGGTAGTGATGGAAATAACAAGCAAGGATTTTCATAGTTGTCATGTCTCAGTTTACCTAATTGTCAACAGGCATGGGAGAGGTTGAGGTCTTCTACCTTTCATGGTTTTTCACTCTTTTTGAGTCCTACGTGTGGTAATCCTGCACCAGGTCTACAAGGTCTCACAGAAGTGGGATCAGGGAGACCCACACCCCAGGAGAGAGAAGAGACCCAAGTCTGCAGGGGTGAGTCAACACCAAAGATGAAGAGAGAAGTGGGAAGGGCACACGGAAAGACACGAGGACACCAAGAGAGATGGGCAGGAAAGTAGGGAAGTGGGGTGGGGTAGCTGGACACTAGGGCTTGGGAGGCATCATAGGAGCTGCTTCCTCCTTCTCAGGACTCAGGCTTGATACGGAAACACGGGGTTTCCGGTCGGGACAGGAGGGAGGGTGGGATCTGACCCAAGCCGAGCCCAGCCCAACCCAGCCCTGCCCTGGGAAGTCCTGGATCTGCCCAAACACGAAGCTTCTGCCTTTCCTCCCAAGGTGGTTCAGCTCACAGCACGTCATGTGACACCTTCACCTTCACTCACCTGTCCACAGAACACTCGTCATA